GGGAGCAATCGGCAGACCCAGCTCAGGTCTCTGCCGGTGGCACAGCAAGGGGGTGGAATTAAATCCTTCTCTGGCCAGTTCAGCCCGGACTGAGCATATTGGGAGGATGAAGAAGGCGCCGGGTAATGTGGGGCCCCTGCAGGATAGGCGGGGCAATCTGGTGGTTGCGTCAGAGGATAAAGCGGACCTCTTTAACCAATTCTTCACCTCCGTTTTCTTGTGCAGGGACCGGGACTTCCCTGCTGTGATAGAAGCCGGACGCGAGGAGATCGCCTTCAGACCTCAGGTTGGGGAGGACCGGGTTAGAGAGCTTCTGGAGGGGCTGGACGCGTTCAAGTCAGCGGGTCCGGATGCTCTCCACCCCAGGGTGCTGAGGGAGCTGGCTGGGGTTATTGCAGGGCCCCTGGCACGGCTCTACGAGCAATCGTGGTGCTTGGGCCAGGTGCCAGACGATTGGAAGGTAGCTAATGTGGTCCCCATCTTCAAAAAAGGGAAAAGGGAGCAAGAAAGGGAAAAGGGAGGACCCGGGCAACTATAGGCCCATCAGTCTTACCTCAATCCTGGGGAAACTCTTTGAGAAGATCATCAAGGAGCACATTTGTGATGGGCCGGCATCAGAAATGATGCTCAGGGGCAATCAGCATGGATTTATTAGGGGGAGATCATGTCAGACCAACCTGATTGCCTTTTATGATCAGGTCACAAAGGCCATGGACGCAGGTGTCGCGGTGGATGTAGTCTTTCTGGACTTCAGCAAGGCCTTTGACACCGTCTCTCACCCCATCCTAATTAATAAACTAGGCGACTGTGGCATAGACGCCTACACGGTCAGATGGATTGCAGATTGGCTGAAGGGTCGCACTCAGAGGGTGGTGGTGGATGGATCATATTCGACTTGGGGGGAGGTGGGTAGTGGAGTCCCCCAGGGCTCGGTCCTGGGGCCTGCGCTGTTCAATTTCTTCATCAGCGATCTTGATGTTGGGGTGGAAAGCAACCTGTTTAAATTCGCTGATGACACCAAAATTTGGGGGGAGGTGAGCACGCTAGCAGGGAGAGAGAGATTGCAGAAGGATCTGGATAGGTTACAGGGGTGGGCAAACAGGAACAGGATGTGTTTCAATACGGACAAGTGCAGGGTGCTGCACTTGGGTAGTAGGAACCAGCAGCACACTTATAAGATGGGGAGCTCCCTACTTGAGAGCACGGAGGCGGAAAGGGATCTTGGTGTCATTATTGACTCCAAGATGAACATGGGCCGACAATGCGAGGTCATGGTTGGCAGGGCTAACCGGACCTTGTCGTGCATCCACAGGTGCATCTCGAGTAGAGCCAGGGAGGTGATCCTCCCCCTCTATGCGACGCTGGTCAGGCCGCAGCTGGAGTATTGTGTCCAGTTCTGTGCGCCCCATTTCAGGAGGGATGTGGACAACATGGAGAGGGTCCAGAGGAGGGCCACCCGCATGATCCGGGGACAACAGGGCAGACCCTACAGTGAGAGACTGCGGGACTTGAACCTATTCAGCCTCCACAAGAGAAGGCTGAGGGGGGACCTGGTGACCGTCTATAAACTCACTAGGGGGAACCAGAAGGGTTTGGGGGAGACGCTGTTTCCCCTAGCCCCCGCTGGCATAACAAGGAGTAATGGGCACAAGTTGATGGAGAGGAGGTACAGATTGGACATCTGAAAAAACTACTTCACAGTTAGGGCGGCTAGGAGCTGGAACCAACTTCCAAGGGAGGTGGTGCTGGCCCCTACCCTGGGGATCTTTAAGAAGAGGCTGGATACTTACCTGGCTGGACTCATTTGAGTCCCGTTTTTGTTTTTAGGGTGTGTTTTTTTTGGGTTGTTCTCCCGCCCTGGCGGGGGGTTGGGCTAGAAGATCTATTAGGTACCTTCCGACCCTGTAACTATGAAACTATGAGCAGGCCCCCCTCCCAGCACAGTTTCTCTGCAGCTGAGGGCATGCGCTGGTACCCGTGGCTCCTGGCCTGAGCAACTGCAAGCATGTGCCCGCATGCCTTTTTTGTTACAAAGCACTCACCCTCTGCAGGCCAGACTAGCCTGCAAAGGTTGAATCAATTCAGGCTCCTGCTTTTTGAATGCCTGTCCCTAGCCCTAAAGACACTGATAACTTAAAAGTTTTCTAACATACCAATAAAAGAACCTAGCTTGTTTTGTCAGGTAGGTCTCAAAAGCTTTTCTGCTGTTGACCAAGATCCCTCAAACAGCTAATCCACTGGATGAGGCTTTTTCAGGGACATCGCAAAGCAGTTCGACAGCCACTGTAATAGCCCCATGCTGCTGAGGAGGATGAATCTCTGAGATAGAGACTATGAAGCTGGGAAGGAAGGGAGATAGGACTCCCCTTCCAGCTGATGATATAGCAACCTCTTGTATGATACTCCTCCAAGAAAGGGGACCCTAGTGGATATAAAGAAAACAGTGGCAGTAGTGGGGGATTCAATCATTAGCTGGGTTTGTGATGTCCAGGAGGACCACATGATAACTTGCCTGCTGGGTGCAAAGCCAGTAGAGGTTACAAGATGTGGATGCTGGGGAGAAGCCAGTGGTCACAATTCATGTGGGTACCAGTGACATGGGGAAGTGTGGGAGAGAGGTCCTGAAAGCTAAATTTAGGCTGCTAGGCATGAAGTAAAAATCCAGCAGGATATCCACAGCTGTGTTCTCTAAAATCATTCGAGTTCTTTGCACACAGCCAGAGAGAGAGGCAGAGCTCCAGAGTCCTAGTACATGGATGAGATGATGGTTCAGGGAGAAGGGGTTTAGGTTTATCAGGAACTGGGGAACCTGTACAGAAAAGGTGGACTTCACCTGAATTAGAATGTTACCAGACTCCTGGCACTAAAAATTAAAAATGGTATAAGCAATTTTTTAAACTAAAAAGTGGGGGAAGCCAAAAAACACAGAACAACATGCAGGTCGGGTTCATGTAACCCCAAAAGGGGGAATCATTCAGATGCTATACGGTCTTGAAGAAGATAAAACAGGAGTGGGAAGTAAAACTGTAGATAACGGTGAGGATAAGTCCTTTGGATGCTTTTGTTAACAACTGAAGAAAAATAGCTTAACTTCCTGATTAAGTGGTTTGTAGTAGACTTCTACCATAGCACCTCTTCTGTTCTTTCCCCGCATCCCCCTTTTACCTTTACGCACAAACTTCCAATATGTTTACCTCCCACCTCTTCCCATCTTCAGTGCAAATATTGCACCACGTCCTCTCTTGTTAATTTGCTTTTCTTTCCTAAAGGGAAATTCCCTACCATTCTATATCAATAGTCCAGTTCAGTCCAGTGATCTATCCCACCAGACCTCTGCAATGCTGATTAAATCTTAATTTTTTTTCCTTACTAAGACTTCTGATTCTTCCTGTTTGTTATGATACACACATCTATGACATGTGGCAGACTACCAAGTCTTTTCCTTCCTGTATTATCTTACACTCCATTTCAAATGTTTTTTTTATCCCTCATCCTAAGACTTCGACCTTTTGACAAAGCTGCAATTTTTTTTTGTTCATCTGAGCAACTTTTGTCACCAAATCTCTTTGAACCAGCCTCCTGCACACCGGGACTGAGTCCCAGAGGTCCAGCACTGCCACCTCCAACTCCCTATGTACCAAGATTGGGCCCTAGGGCCTGGCACTGCTCTCCCAGCCCCCCACATCGGGATAGGGCCCTGGGACCCGATGTCACCTTTGCCAAGCCCTGTGCACTGAGGTTGGGCATCCCATCTAGTGCACAGATCCCAGGATTTTCCATGCATTTGGAAATTTGGCAGGAAGGAAGCAGTGGCACCGCTCTCATGCTGCCAAAGTTCTAGACATGTGGAGAGACCTGTGGGCCAGATGACACAACGCCACAGGCCACATCTGGTCCATGGGCCAGGCCTTGAGTACCCCTGCTCAGAACCAAGACTACAGATTCTTACCTGGATTAGCTTTATAACCCTTTTGTCCCTCAAAGAGTTAACTGTTTTTTCCCCCCTCTCCTACCCACCTTGACTCTCAGCAGTACCTTCTCCTTTTTCCTCTCACTTCCCTACCTTTCCTATTCTAATCACTACTTTCTATTCAGAAGCTCTGCTTCTTGCAGTCCCTTCACAGCACCTGACAAAGAAAGCCCTGGGCTTACAAAAGCTTATGCTATAGATCTCCAATTTAATTAGTCTATAACTTGCAAATCTACCTTTCCTCTACCTATTAAGCACTGGACTCCTAAAGTGATTAAGTTCCAGTTTGCCTTGCAGCTGAGACATTCTCTTTCAGCTCACTTACATGTTTTCTGTGGAGCTCTTGCAGCAGATACTCCCCAAGCCAGGTGGCTCCCTCTGCCTGGCTTTCCTCAACATGGAAATATAGGCTGCATTCCCAACAAAACAGGACCTCTAAGGTCAGAGTTCCTGGCCTACAAAGACCCTTCCATCTCCTCCCCAGGCGTAAGCAGAGGAAAAGCTAGCAATGGCATTTGTTTGCTACCCATTGTGCGTCCTCCTAAGATACCAACAAGAGAAGTAGAGAACCTCTCCCTCAGGCATCTCAAGGTGGCAGATCTCTCAGCCTCCCAAATCCAGTAATCTCTTATGCAAAAATCAGAGATAGAAGTTATGCAAAATTCACCTATTCTGCTCTGTGATCCTTTAGCCTTCAAGGCTTTTCAGTCCCTTGAAGTAATGTAAAATTACTGCAAGCATGTATCTATCAAGCAAAGCTATGTTGTGAAGATGTGAGAAGCAGCAAAAACAATTAAGTTTCAGGCTCAGAAAAAATGTTTTTACACACTTTCACATGCAAGGACTATTTCATCAATAAAGATTAACAACAGCACTTATGAGAAGTAATTTATTAAACAGTATCTTAGAACTTATAAAATGTAGCTTTAGTCAACATAGGAAACTAAGTTTTTTAATCAACATACAGGTTAATCTTAGCAGAGTATTTAACATTTACCTGTCTTTCTTACTTACCAGCTCTCTCATGCAAAGATGAGGTTAAAGCTAGAAATGTATTTGTATTTTCTATCTCCTCATGACTTCCTGAAGCACTGAGAGTGATTACACACTAATAAAGAAAGAAAGTATGGAAATATAAAAAGGTAACATGAATTTACTCAAATTAGAATTATATTGAAAGACTCCCCCAACCATCTAGTCCCAAAGTCTATCAAAATTCAAGCAATACAACTTTTTCTTCAATCAAGCTTTTGGATAAACCTGGTTTCCTTACTACTTTTTCCTTCTTTTTGAGCCTCGATGAAGTTAAGGTACATATGTTTTTAAAGCTGTTGTTAAACGCTTCCCAGACATGATTACTGGAAATAAAAGTAAAATCCTTTCACTCTACACATCCAAATGACATGTTTCCAGATACACAAGTGTCATTTTACACTAGAGTGCATCCAACTAAACATATTCAGTAGCAACATAGAAACCTACAGGTCCACACTGCACAGGAAGTAAGATCAAACACTAGGTGCAAGCTCCAAAAAATAGTTCAAAAACTGCCATTGGGTGCACAAAATGAACAGGATTCTGCCCTAAATCTCTTTACATGCATTTCAGTCACAGCAGACTTGCAATAGTATTGCAATTTCATGCTCTCAGTAACCACTGCAAACCTAAGAGCAAGTGAATGAGATCCTAAATCTCTCTTTTTCCTCTCAAGTTCAGGCTTGTATCTCTCATATTAACTGCTTATCTCATGCTGAATTTTATTTTTCAAGCAAAATAAGGTGAGGGAAAGATGCATTGTTTTTAAATGTTAAGAGAAAAAAAATTGTGACAACCACCTCAACTCCCCATGCATCACACTTTCAAACAGGCTCTTAAAATTTTTGGTAGGACACATGGTGACTTTGTCAAGGTTTACCATTTGTTTCACCTCTGTAAATCTGTCCAAGTTTAACCAAATTACAAGCCTTTGGAGGGGAAAAAAAAGATTCAGTTCACATATGCTCAGGAGTAACATTTTGTGTGTTAAGGAATGAAATCTCCCTGAATTCCATGAATAAGTATGATCCATTCCCTCACTGCACCTCATCTAAACATGCCATGCTTACAGAGTAACTGAGTGTATTCCATCTCAATATTACAGGGGTAAAACCAGACACTTGAACTGAGAGCAGGATGCTTGTCTCACCTGTGTTTTTAATACCACTTCTCCCCAGACAGCACAACAGGAGTGTAGCAGGTAAAGATTACCAGTTCAAATACAGAAGGGACATGATCACATGGGGGGAAAGGAAGGGTAAATAGAGACAAGAAATCTTTGAAGACTGGGACAAAGATCTGAAACATGAAAGACTACAACTGGCTGAATGAGAAAAGAGAAGCACAGCTGACTCAGTGGGAATCACTAAGATCTCTCAAAAGACTGGAGTCCAGGGTTTAGAAAACTAGGACTGCTTGATATAGAGCCTTGAGGACCAGAAGCAAGAACATCTTCCTAGGAATTGACCAAAGCTACTTCCCTAAGTAGTACAGAAGGCTATCTGCTTTCTAAACTGTTATAAGATTTGGATAGTCATCTGCTAGAAAAGGGGCAAGTTTGATGGTCTATAGCAGAGGTATCAGATACAGCCAACAGGCCAAATTCAGTCCACGGAGCCCATTATCTGGCCCCCAATACTGCCCCAGTCCACAGTGGATGCATATGCAACATGTCAGAAAAGCCCCACATATAGGGCCTGGAACATGCACTGCACATGGCAGCCCCTCTACCAATCTGTGATGCACACTGCATGCAGAACCCATCTCCCCAGGATATGGGGCCAGCACCACTGTGGATCCACTGGTACACTTGCACCCCCGCTTTGATTCCTGCTCCGCCCAAAGTTTAAAACCAACTGCCTAGCAGTGGCAGCAGAATTTCTAGTCAGGCAGTGCTGATGGAGTCAAGTGATTTCACAGCTCTTATGTTTTACCTGATGCTTCCTAAACTCTTCATTCCACATCTGTTAATGATCCCCTCTTCTTTCTAATGGTCTTGATGTTCCGCCAATCAAGCTATCATTTGTTCTGCAGTTCTTTTGCCAGCTGTTCCTGGTAATGAATCTCCTATTTCATAGCTCTGCGGACTGTTTTTAACTCCTTCCAATAAAATTATATTTGTTTTTTTCTTCAATACAGCCCTAGGTCCTTAGCATATTAGTAAAGATCCTAATTTATTTTTTAGTGGAGAAAATGTGTTGTTTCATGTGATGATACACCTCATCATCTTCATTCCCCCCGTTCAAAGTTCTAGATCTGCCCATGTACATGCTGCATGTAGTACCCACCCCAACTGGTCTGGAATGCACACCACACACAGCGCCCACTTCAGCCCAGTCCAGAACCTATGCTGCACACATTGCGCCACCCACTCCCACAGCTACTCCAGGGAAAGTGCCATGTGCAGCATGGGTCCTGAACAGGCTGGGGTAGGCACTGCCTGCAGCATGCGTTCCAGGGCAGTCAGAGGAAATACAGTAAGTACTGGATCCAACATTGGGGGGTGGGGGGGAGGGTGGAAAGCAGGCAAGAGCAGTTCTGTGGTCCCGTTCCAGAAGCAGGGCTGGCTATGTGCCATTCATCTGGCCCATGGATCAGGTTTGACACAACTCATCCTGCCTGTGTTCTGTATCTAGAACTTACACAAAAAACACAGTATTAAAGTTGAAAAATCAAGCACCCCAAGTTAGGAATTGTCAAACTTAAAACTGGCTATACAATCTAAACCCAGTCTTTTTTTGTATAGTCTGTAATTACATAATCACAAAGAATACAGGATTCATGCCTCATTCATCACACTGAACAGACCTGTTTTAGACAGAGGATTAGTTAGGGTTATGCAGTTAAGAGGGTTATTTATTTTAGGAGCTTCATTTCATGCATTTCAAGAGTTGGAAGATGTGAAGTAAATAAAGCAGGGCTTTGCAGAAAGGAGGCAGCTGAATGATACCTTGAAGAACTAGACTGTATGCCTGCAACAAAGCTCCTTCTGGTTCAATTAAACCAGATTTTTCCTCATTTTCCAGGTGAGTGACTTCAGATCCTGTGGATCTTTTGCAGAAGTGCTGAGCATTCACAGCTGCTACCAAACTTAACTGGAACTGTTTTGGACACAATTTTTTCATATAAATGAAAAAACTCTGATTCTAATCGTCTCCAGTTGGATATTCATTGAAGATTATGGACACTTTCAACCTTAATCTCCCTCTGCATCTGTTCCCCTTAAGTAAAATGGGCAACCGTTTACCTCATTTCTCAGCTGTGAAAAGGGATTAACGTTTGTGAAGCACACAGATAATGAGGTAACTGGTACCACAGAAAGGTTATAAGGAAGACCATTTTTTTCTATATTCAGAGCAAGGTTTGACAGTGTGCATTAGAGGAAGTAATGGCTTAGACATTGAACAGTGAGGAAATAACAAGATGCTAAATAGCTGCTCACTACATGAGAATTGCCCACTCTGCATGAAATGAGGTAGGCCTATACAAAGCAGCTAGTATTTGTTTTGGATTCAGATTCAGACGATTTGGGGGGCAGTGATTCGATTCAAATCTGTCCCAAATCAATTTGGCTGAATTTGATTCGAAGATACGGCCGCCACCGAATTGAACAAATATCCAAATCCAACAGGCCCCAGCCCTCACCCACTATTCCAGCCCCATCAGTGGCTGCCCTCCCCAGCCTCAGTGTCCTGGCACTTTTTTAAAGTGCAGCATCCAGTGAGTGCAGGGCTTTTTTTTTTTTTTTTTTTTTTTTAAGTGCCAGGAAGCTGGGACCAGACAGAACAGACATTGATGGGGCTGAGAGAGTGGGCAAGGGTCAGGGGCTGCTCAGGGAGGGCTGAGGGAGCAGGCAGGACATGGGGCCTGGTGGGGGTCCCCCCATTTCCCTCCTCCAACCCCTTCTCTCTGCCCCCTACTTACTGGCACGGAGCCCAGGTCCAGCTCCCTGCAGTGGCAAGCAGGCACTGCACAAATCTCCAAATCTTCTCCGAATCAATTTGGAGGCTTTGAGTCAATTCAGACCTTTTTATTGGTCTCCCGATTCAATTTGGTGTTGGAGATTTGGCCTCTGTATTGGGCCAAATCTCCTCTGAATCGAATCAGCAACCAAAGTTCCGCACATCCCTAAAATGAGGCATGGACATTCACCTGGATAGCGCCATCATTACTGAGTATACCAAGTTTTGAAGGAGATATTGAGCTTCATATTTCAACATTTAAGCTAATCTATAACTGCTAGAGACCAGGATGAGGTGTATACGGGGGGAGGGGGGTGCATATCCCATCACATACACTTCAGAAGCAAGTTAACAGTCACTATAAGAGACAGAATACTGGAATAGATAGCCTTAATACCTGTCATCCTAGTTGCTCCTAGTAATGTTTCCAAAAACTAGGTCACGGACTATTTTCCCTCCCCGCCCCATACCATCACAGCAAATGGTGATTTACAACCTGCAGCATGAGGGCAACTTATCCTTTCTGAATGTTTATCCTAACAATAGATGGTTTTATTAACCAGAACCTTTTAAAATACTAATGAACTATTTATTGAAAATTGCTAATATAATGATCTCTACAAGTTACCCATACAACCTGTAAAAAGTATTTTTTTAAATAAAATTGGATGTCATACAAAAAAGCTATACTTTTTCAAATGTTAGTCATGATTTGTCAGTTATACATTGGCTTAATTTTTAAGAACAACTTAGTAGTTTCAAGTACGTCATAGTCAACGTAAGTGTAACTTTGAATAATTTTAGATACCCCTCAGATATCCAAGTAATGGCAGAATGCCTTGCACAACTTTTTCTTCCTTCTCATGTTGAGGTTCTTGGTCAGCCAGTAACAACTGAATTACAACTTGTGTTTGTGAAATCACGCTGTTACCTTATATAAGATGAAAGATATTTTATTAGTATGATAAAAAATGACATATTTCTAACCTGAAGTTCTTCCCAGAGTTTTGTCCTCATTTCTCTGCCTTGTTTTTTAATTGTTCTCTCTTGAGATTGTTTCTTTGCCAATATCTTGTCCAGTTTATTCATCTTTCTTATAGCTTCTTCAATCTTAGGATCCACATCTTTTTCTTCAGAAAGTTCTAGATTAGTAAAATGTAATGCAGTTAAGATTTAAAAAAGGATGCTGGCTTAAAAAGTTTTAATTAAAAGAAATAACAAGCCAATTAAAGTGCCAGGGATTTTGCCAGGAATTTCAGTAGGAATACAGTTCTTCACTGGCATTTGTAAGTATGTGGTTTCTACTGTTGGATAGCTGCAGCAGAATAAAAGTAAGGGTTTTTCTAGCAGATATCAGAGCTGCTCTTTGACCTGAATAACTATCTCCAAAGCCAAGGGAGGGAGTACTAGACCCAGTTAGGCACAAAGATTAACTGTGGTAGAAGACAGAATTCACCATGAAGGATATTAGTAGTTCTACCAAGTTTAAATATCTGTTTGGGCTCAATATGCATTACAAGCACAGAAGATAGCTAGGACTGTCTCTTCTAGCTGGCCTGGATCTTGCTGAATTTGAACCTGAAACTACTGGATTCTTGAATGGGGCTTCATTTAATTAAGTCCTGTATTTAGGACAGAAGAATTCCATGTACCAGTACAGGCTGTGGGCTGACTGGCTGGGCAACAGGTCTTTAGAAAAGGATCTGGAGATTACAGTGGACAGTAAGATCCATATAAGCCATCAGTGTTGCCAAGAAGACTAACGGAATACTGGGCTGCATTAGTAGGAAGGTTGCCAGCAGGTCAAGGGTAGCGATTATTCCCTTCTATTCAGCGCTGGTGAGGCCACATCTGGAGCAGTGTTCAGTTTGCCTCCCTGCACCCCACCCCACTACAGAAAGGATATGGGCAAACTGGAGAGAGTTGGATGGGGAGCAGCAAAAATTGTGAGGGGGTTGGGGCACATGACTTATGAGGAGAGGCTGAGGGAACTGGTCTTATTTACTCTAGAGAAGAAAAGACTGAAGGGGGATTTAACAGCAGCCTTCAACTACCTGAAAGGGGAGTTCAAAAGAGCATGGAGCTAGACTGTTCTCAGTGGTAGCAGATGACAGGACAAGGAGCAGCAGTCTCAAGTTGCAGCAAGGGAAGTTTAGGTTGTATATTAGGAAGAATTTTCTCACTAGGAGGGTAGTAAAGCACTGGAACAGGTTACCCAGAGAGGTTGTGGACTCGCCATCCTTGGAGGTTTTTAAGACCCGGCTAGACAAAGCCTTGGCTAGGATGATCTAGTTGGGAATGGTTCTGCTTTGAGCAGGGGGTTGGACCAGATGACCTCCTAAGGTCCCTTCCAACCCTAATTTTCTATGATTCTAAGTCACAAATGAGCAAGTGGCAGATGAGTGGCACAGAGATGGTCCATTACTTGACCAGAATTGGGCCTTGTGCAAGACCATGGCCTACGGGTTCCCAACAGATACATAGGGAGCCCTGCAAGCCACGTGACAAGACCCACAGGATGGGAGTTGGGCACCCCTATTTTAGAAGGCTTGCACCATTGCTCTAAAAAGTTTCACCATCACCAAGTTCTCCTTGCTTATTTGCTTCTGAGCTGACAAAACCCAGCGTAGCATCAGGAACTTGGGTTGGTTTTATTTACCTGAACCTTTTAGAATCCTAATGGCCTATTCACTGTAACATCTAGTACAGCCTAATGAGTACTATTGGGTAATTATACCCACTAAAATATGAAATGTATATCCTATGTGTAAATTCTTAACTTCATGCCACATGCACAGTTATTGTTTTCCTTCTTTTACTGCATTAAAAACATACACGCATTCTTAATTAAGTCCTCTACTGACATATCTTACTGCCACACTTAACTGAAAGAAGTGAGGAGAAGGAATCGAAACTGCACTATTCACTTAATACATCTCATAATACCTTCTTTTACATTAGATGACTGCTCTTGAGAAGCTTTATTTAAATTGGGAGGCTCAGTTTCAACACAATCCTCTCCAGAATCTGAACTAGAAATGTATTCTGAAAAACAAAATCAATAATAATAATAATAATAATAATAATAAATTATTTGAAATAATCTATAATTAAAGATGACTGAAGCAGTCATCAAGAGAGTTAAATACATTTTTTCATGTCAATCATAAAATACACTCATTACAATTCCCCACTGTATGGAAAAAGGGTACTTATCATTATGTTGTGATCTGGGGGTTAAAACACAGGACAGGGAAATCAAGGTACCTCTTTTATTCCTAGTTCTTACACAGAATCTCTATGGGTAGAAATAGACATTGCAACCGAAGTGTATCAACTGTGTTAGGACATGTCCAACACACACATAACTGTGGACAAGCAGGTGATATGTTCCCCTAGATGCAAGACAGAAAGTAACCCAGGGAATCTCTGGGCTCCATGCTGCCGCAAGTCAGGTCCTGTGCAAGCAAAGGTCAACACAGTTCCCAGTATGGGGCGGTGTAAAGGTACATGGTGGCACAGGAGCTGGGGAATCCCTGGTGTCCCATGCCTCCACATGGGGACTTAGGCTAACCTGTGCCAACAGGGTTCCTGGCAAGGAGGTGAAGGGCAATGTAAATTTCCTGGATGCCACTCTTCCATATTCCTCAGCCTGAAGACAGCTTGGTGCAGGGACTACACAGCTCCCACTCTGGCCCATGCCTCCACCTGAAGCACAGGTCGGCACAGGTCCCAGCCAGGGAGGTGCAGGTTGGCACAGAAGCCAGGGAATTCCCAAGGCCTTGTGCCTCTAAACTGGAACCTGCACCACATCCTGAACCAATCCAGAGGCATGGGTCAGTGCAGATCCTGGCATGGAGGCACAGGGTGCTGGGAATTCCCCAGCTCCTACTCTTCCCTGTACCTCCTTGTCAGGACCTACACTGACTGAAGCTTCACACAAAAGCACAGGTCAGCACAGATCCCAGGACAGGGTGGCACAGGAGCCAGGGATTCCCCAGCTCCCCATGTCTTCATGACAGAACCAGTGCTGACCCAGGCCTCCGCATAAAGCACAGGTCAGCAAGTCCTATTGCATGGTAGCAGGGGGCCTGCACAGGCTTTCCCACTTGCAGAGATGCCCCTAGAAATCCATGGACACCCAGGGCATCTCTGTAAGTTGGACAAGTCATATAGATGTTCTGCAGCCTAGAGGGATGCAATCCTACCCAGGACTTAATCCCCCAAACTTGCCCACACTCTACCACAGTAGAGCAAATAGACATCAGGCACAATAAAGCAACACAGTGATTTGATACGATGTGTCTATTTTCTCAGAATTTGTGCCACCACAAAAATTATTAAAGCAGCACAAACACTATGTCAGGCAACATCGGTTTCAACCCTACATAACTTTGAGGCAGCAGATAAATAACTTGTTCCATTTACCAACCTGTAAAACAGCAGTACAGTTTACTTTAAGTGCACAGCTTCTGATCTAGCACTATATTTATTATAGCAGTATCTCCAAGCAGAATCTAGCCAGTTATTCAAATACTATCTTCTGTAGAGCTAAGCAACAGGTTGAAGTCAGTCATTGTCCTACCTGACAACTCAGAATTCTGCATCTGCTGGAAAATGCAGGTAGTTTCCTCCTCCATGGTTTGTTGCAATGTACTCATTTTCTGGGTTTTATATTTCACTCTACTATCATACTGGTTTTCTTCTGGACTGCTCTTTCCTGAATTGTCTTGTTTATGATCACTATCCAAATCACCTTGATAATCCACCTAAAATTGGGTAAAATTTAATACTAATCACAAATGTAGGAATGACCTGTTAGGAAAAAAAATCATGCATTGTTATGAATGTTAAGAATATACTTGCAAGTATTCTTAGCCAAGGATCTCAGCCTTCTTTACAAATAAAGTAGTACTCTCAACTCATACCAAGAATGATCTTTCATAGAGAGCTGGCTAATGCATCTCTCTCACAGGTTCAGTGTCATACTAAGTGGCAAATTTGGGATGAGGAAGAAATTTTTCTCCATGTCAGATTGGAATGGACCTTACATGTTTGGCATGTACACTGATGAATTTCCTGCTCCTAGAAGGCACCTGGCATTGTGGTACATTGACCTCTCTTATTCAGTCTTTGGGAGATAGGCAAAGCCCTACTCCAGCTGAAGTCTTTGAGTTTAATTTAGGGGTATCTGGGCAAAATTTTAAATGGGCTAACTACAAGAGTGCAGGCTAGATTATCTGATAGTCACTTCTAGACTTTATCTGTAACTATGACAAAAAAGCCTTACAATATTTGCACACCGAACAGACACTTACCCACATTATATTATCTGAATTTAATATGATAGGCTGATAACATATAAAGCACTGTCAGCATGATGGTATTAGCATCACCAAATCTGATTAGTTCCCATCATTTTCAAGGCTTCTAATTGTCAATCTAGTTACAATATAAAGCAAATACTACTAGTTAAAGTAAACAAGCAGTTAAGTGAAATAAAAAGTTACAAAATAGCGGAGCTGAAGTACATTGCTATATACTTAAGCATTTATGTACTTGGTCAAAAAGCAGATAACCAGAATTTGTTACAGTGTACGGATTTCCCTCGCTTTATGCAAGTTCTGTATGTGCGAATTCAGTCTTATGCGATGACACTTTTTATTCCAAAAATTCATTATATGCAAGGTAAATTCACCCTTATGCGATCGGTGTGGTAGAAGCCCGCAGTCAGCTGCTCTGTTAAATGCATTGTGGGAGTGACATACGCCAAAATATAGCCTCCTGTGTACATCTGTTCTCCTCACTCATTGTCTGAGACACGTTTCTGTAGTTGCTATTCCCATTATGGTAACATTCACCACAACCCTGTGCTTGTGGGTACTGTCTGCTGTTGGTGAGTACCAAAACTGTCTTGTAAAAGTGGTAGAAATGGGTCCAGGGGTCAGTACAGTTGAGGTCTTGGAACATATCCCTATTTATTACATTGTAAAGTGGGTTTCCTTTACGCAAATTGGAGTTATGCGC